CGGCGGAGCGGGGCCCGGGACATGCCCCGCGCAGCTGTACTCTGCACCTGGCCCTGGCCGCGATCGCAGCGAGGCGGTACCTTTTATGACCGTCTCCCCTCTCCTGAACCCAGATCCCCGGACCCCTGAGTTTCTGCACCTCTGCCCAGGAGTTGGGGCCTGGCTCCTGGCCACCCCGGGCAGGTCAGCATGGCAGAGACGCTGGAGTTCAACGACATCTACCAGGAGGTGAAAGGCTCCATGGTGAGTAGGGTTTGGGCCCGGGGTGGTTGGGTGGGGCGGCAGAAGCTTAACTTTGATGGTGCTGCAACTTTCGGACTCGAGGTTGCCTATCTGGTGTTTCCCCCAACAAAACGTGGCAGTGACCAAGTCGCAAGGGTTACAGGACCTCAGTTTGGAGGGACCGTGACACTCTTCGACTCCAGTTCGTTTTGCTAACAGGAGACTGTTAGGCTTCCGGATGCAGGAGCCTGCAGAGTCCAGGTGTCCTGGGCACTTGTTGACTTCCTGTCCCCACCCTCAGAGCTGTTGCTTTCCTGCTCTGGTGGGCTGGTAACCCCTGGCAGCCAGGGCGGGTGTGGGGTAGAACTTGCCCAGTGCGGCCTGCATACTGTGCTCCTGGGCCAACTCTCTCTGCAGAATGATGGTCGCCTAAGACTGAGCCGCCAGGGCATCATCTTCAAGAACAGCAAGACAGGCAAAGTGGACAACGTCCAGGCTGGGGAACTGACGGAGGGCATCTGGCGACGGGTAGCTCTGGGCCATGGGTTGAAATTGCTCACAAAGAATGGCCATGTCTACAAGTACGACGGGTTCCGGGAATCGGTGAGGCACCCTGTTGCACAGCCCCCCTTTACTGGGCTGTCGTGGTTATTTTTAAGCTTCTAGAGAGTTGGGGTTGCTTCTAATAACCATGTCACTGTTAGTTTGTGCTTTGTAAAACGTGCTTTGAGGATAGAATTCTTGTGCCTTTGAGTTCTGATTGTAGTCTTTTTACTGTCTTAAGTCAAATAGTGCTGGTTATTTTTAGCTAGGTTTAGGATCTCTTTTTTTTTTTTTCTTTTTGGTACCAGGCATTGTACTCAGGACCTTGCTTTTTCAAGGCAGGCACAGTGCCACTGAGCTAAATCCCTGGGCCCTAGGTTTAGAATCGTAAACCAGGTGTGGTTGGAGGACTGAAAGTTTGAGCCCAGCCTAGGCAACTCAGTGACTAGTAGATCCTGTCTCAAAATGAAGAAATAAAGAGCTGGGGATGTAGCTCAGTGTGAAGGCCCTGGGTTCAATCCTTAGTACTACACAGTAAGAAAGAAAAGAGAATCTTAGCTTGATGTTCTAGCTAGGATTTTCATTTTAAGTTAGACTTTACTTGTTTTGATTTCCACATTCACTGGAACAGTATCTATACAAAGTTTAAAAAAAAACCAGCGAGCTTGGTGATAATCTGTATCCAGGAAATCAGTTTCGTCCTTTATTCCTCTGCTAGCCTAAGGTCCTAAGGTCCCCTTCCTAGGAATCCTCTTTTTGGAAGCTTTTAAGCAGCGTCAGAGCTTAGATACTAAGTCAGTGTGGATTTGGGACCCTTTTTCTGAGAGGTGATTCCAGGATGCAGAAATTGGGTGGAGGCTGTCAGAGTTACGGGTACTGTGCTGTCTCTCCTCCACCACAGGAGTTTGAGAAACTCTCTGATTTCTTTAAAACCCACTACCGCCTGGAGCTCCTGGAGAAGGACCTGTGTGTAAAGGGCTGGAACTGGGGCACAGTGAAGTTTGGGGGTGAGCCCTGGGGCATTTGCTTGGGGGGAGGGACAGGAAGGTCTTTTTTAACTGTTCTTGTGCCCTTTCCTCTGCTGCTGTATGATTTCCTCCTCGTTTGTGTGTTTTTTGTGTTTTTATCGCACACCTGCGGTGAGCCTGGTCTTGGGGGTGTGGCGGGAAGGAACTGGCCTCAGAGCCTGACCCTCGGGCTCCCTGAGGCTCCAGGTGGACAGGCTGGATGGGCCCTGTGCTTCTCCAGGGCAGCTGCTCTCCTTCGACATCGGTGACCAGCCCGTCTTCGAGATCCCTCTCAGCAATGTGTCCCAGTGCACCACAGGCAAGAACGAGGTGACACTGGAGTTCCACCAGAACGACGACGCAGAGGTCTCCCTCATGGAGGTGCGCTTCTACGTGCCTCCCACCCAGGAGGATGGCATAGACCCCGTCGAGGTGAGGCCTTGGCTGGCTCCGTGGGAACGGATGCAGGTGAGCAGGGCTTGGCCGGCCCAGGTGACCCATGTGCGCCCCGCAGGCCTTCGCCCAGAATGTGCTCTCCAAGGCGGATGTCATCCAGGCCACCGGAGACGCCATCTGCATTTTCCGGGAGCTGCAGTGCCTGACCCCACGAGGCCGCTATGACATCCGCATCTACCCCACCTTCCTGCACCTGCACGGCAAGACTTTCGACTACAAGATCCCCTACACCACGGTGCTGCGCCTCTTTCTGCTGCCCCACAAGGACCAGCGCCAGATGTTCTTCGTGGTGAGCAGAACCCGGGCTGTGTGAGCTGGCTCCGGCTGAGTCCATGGCAGCCAACCCCACTGGCATCTGGGGTTCTGAGTCCCGAGCCCCTGGCAAAGCATCAGCCAGCGTAACTCTGCCTCTGTCCCTCCCCAGATCAGCCTGGACCCCCCGATCAAGCAGGGCCAGACCCGGTACCACTTCCTCATCCTCCTTTTCTCCAAGGACGAGGACATCTCCTTGACCCTCAACATGAACGAGTGAGTGTGGCTGAGTCGCTTCTTGCTGCCACGTGGACGGCAGAGACCCTGGCCTCACCTTGCTTTGTCTGCAGGGAGGAGGTGGAGAAGCGCTTTGAGGGGCGGCTCACCAAGAACATGTCCGGCTCGCTCTACGAGATGGTCAGCCGGGTCATGAAGGCCCTCGTGAACCGCAAGATCACTGTCCCTGGCAACTTCCAAGGGTGAGCTGTGGCCGGGGCCCCGCGCCTGCCGTCCGTGGCTGGGCCGCTCAGGCACTGACAGGCTCACACCCTCAGGCACTCGGGGGCCCAGTGCATCACCTGCTCCTACAAGGCCAGCTCGGGGCTGCTGTACCCGCTGGAGCGGGGCTTCATCTACGTGCATAAGCCACCAGTGCACATCCGCTTTGACGAGATCGCCTTTGTCAACTTCGCCCGTGGCACCACCACCACCCGTTCCTTTGACTTCGAGATCGAGACCAAGCAGGGCACGCAGTACACCTTCAGCAGCATCGAGAGGTGGGGCCTCCCTCGTCCCCTGAGAGCCCCCGTCCTGACCCTGCGTGGGAGCCTGGTGTGGCCGGGGCCTGGTGCCATGGCTTTGAAGGCTCTGAGTAGAGCAGAAGCTTCTTCTCTGGCTTCACCGCGTTAGGGTTAGAGAAATTCTTTTCTTTTTTGTGCTACTGGGGATTGAACCCAGGGCCTGTGCACTGCGTTGCATCTCCAGTGTCCTCTTTTTGTTTTGAGACACGGTCTTAGTTGCCCAGGGCGGGGTTTGAACTTGTGATTCCCCTGCCTCAGCCTTCCAGAGTGCTGGGGTTTCAGGTGCGCACCACCACACCTGGTGAGAAAACCTACTTTCTGCATTATGAAAGGGTTTCAAATGAGCTGTTTTTTCCTTCCGCTCCCCCGGAGTGGAAATGCTCTCTCTCTGTTTCCCGGCACTGCAGCTAATGCTTATTGAGCGCTCCTCATGGGCTGCACGTTGCAGGCGTCTGTCTTCATATTAAATGCACTAACACCCGGTGTGAGTCACAGATCAGTGCAATGGCGAGGACACCCCGCCCCGGTGTGCCCGTTCTGGGCGCCGTCGGGGACCGGGTGACCCTCACTTCCTGTCCGGAGCTCTTCGGGGCCAGCCAGGTCCTCAGGGCCATCCTGGGGTTCCCTGAGTCCCAGAACCTGGCTCCCAGCTGCTGGCCAGTCCTGACCGCCGGAGCACTGTGTCTCCCACAGGGAGGAGTACGGGAAGCTGTTTGATTTTGTCAACGCGAAGAAGCTCAACATCAAGAACCGCGGCCTGAAAGAGGTACCTCGGGACGGGTGCGCCACTCGTGAGCCTGCTGCAGGGGAGAGGAGTGGGGCTTCCGGCTCTTTTTCACTCTCTCTTCTTTTCTTGCCCTTGTAGAAAAAAGAGGTGCGTGTGACCCTCTGCCCCCGGTGCAGGTTTTCTCCGCATGGCTGCAGATGGGGCTCCACAGCCCGCCAGCCCCGAGGGCCCGGGCGCGGGAGGGGCTTGGGCTGACCCCGTGTGTGC